ATAATAAAGTTGGCCAAGAGAAAGCAAATAGTGTTAGCAATTTCCTTGTCATCAAGAAATCACCAGAGAGTTCAAAGATGAACGTGAGACTAATAGGTGTCAATGAGAAAGAAGGAGTCAATATAAATGATATAAAAAGAATATGGGCAGAAGTAACAGCAGAAAACTTCCCAAATATGGGGCAACAATCTGATATTCACGTAACTGAAGCATATAGAACTCCAAATAGTATCAATCCAATGAAAACCACACCCAGACACATAATAATCAAGATCCCATAAATTCTGTTATGAGAATAACAATATATTAAAAGTCACTAGACAAAAGAAACAGATAACATTTAAAGGAAAACCTAGGGGTCAGGGAGATGGCTCAGTATAATAAGCACTTATCTGGCAAGTGCAAGGGCCTGAGTTCAATCCACAGTTCTGCCAAAAAAAAAAAAAAAAGAAAAGAAAAAAGGAAAACCTATCAGAGTAATGGCAGATTTCTCTTTACAGACCATCAAGTCAAGAAGAGCATGTTACAAAGTACTTCAAGTCTTGCAAGAAAAAAAATTCCAACCCAGACTGATATACTCTGCAAAACTCTCTTTCAAGTTTAATGGAGAAGTGAAATACTTTCATGACAAAGAACAACTAAAGAATTTCAGATGACAAAGCCAATCCTACAAAAGTCTTCTAAAAGCTATCCTAGAGGGATCAAAATGATCACAACTTCATGAATGAGAATAGAAAGAACCCACCAAGTAAGGCAAACAGTTAAACACAGGAGAAAAAGAGGTATACAAAAGCAGTCTTTCAATTATTCTTTTGTATACAGCAGCAAAATATTTCCATCAGCATACTCTACAAATGGACTTCTTCTGCACCCTATAGGACATGATTCTGCCGGGGTCTACAGGTTGGATAACAAGGAAATAGCAGTAGCTCAGTCACACAAGTGACACCTGGCCACCAGTAAGCGTCATAGACACTGTCCACCACATACTAGAACTTCGTGAGATATCCTATCCTCAAACTGTAAGTAGTGCTGGTCATATATTTGCCATTCCAGTATTTTTGTTGTTTTATTCTTAGTAATTCCTTACTATCATGAAAATTTTTTCTTAGCTGATATTTTTGTATATATTTACCTAATCAAATACTATGTGAGTACCCTGAATTGATCACAGATTCATAGATTCATACACATGATACACTACATTCTGGCCTCTTAGTTGGACTCACAATTTAACTTTAATTTTTCAATATTAT